AATAAGGATTTTGAAAACAAACACTATACTAGAAATAGCAGGGAGAGGAGAGTAAAACACTTTAACAATCTCCTTAACATCCATGACCTGAAGTACTGTATTATGAGACTTTTAGGATGCAAATATTATGCTTCCCATTAAAAAATGATTTAATTTTTCCAGTAGGCAACTCAGGCTATAACTGTGGGTTGTAAGACATCAAACACTGGCCTTTTCATGAGTCTTGGATTACTCTTGGACCTTGTAGCACCTTAAGCCAATAACTGGGGTGAAGAGTGTGGAGTAATGTCTGGATTTAATGAGAAGAAAGAATACTTACAAAAGATTAAGTTCCTGAAGAATGGTGCCCACTGAAAACTGCAGAAAAAATAGTGGAAGTTCTCTGATAACTGCAAGAGCACAAATGATATAGCAGCAGGTGCCATTTGAGACACGGCTGGGTCTCTGGACTTTCGCACAATACCTGCAATTTGGGGCAAAACTTGTGTTTTATGCAAATCTCTATTATTTTTTAACAATTGTTGGGTAATTAGGGTAAGGAAGCTGAAGCATTGTTCAACCCGTGTATGCAAATACTGTCACTGGAGAGTCTCTTCCTTTCTGGCTGCTACAGGAAGTTTGAAGAGCAGAATTTGGTGCTTTAGAGAATCTACTTGAAGGCTCCTTCGCAAAGGTCACTTGTCAGCGCCATGCAAAAATTTCTCTGCATGTAGATCTAAATAATTAATTACTGCAGAATTTAAATTCTTCTATTTTACATTTGTCAAGCTTTCATCAGCCTGCAGACAAGCTCCAGTGTCTCCACCAGTCCTCATAGATTTGTTCAGTAGCAAAATATGCTCAACAAGAACTCATTCTTTCTTTGCTGGTATTGGTCAAAACTGTGCCAAGTCTTGTACACATCTTAGTATCAATTGCCAGATTAGTCATACTTGGTGGTTCTAAGATGGGATATGTTTCTGTGGCCAAGGACAGCTTATTATACACTGGGGTTTTTTTGTTTGGTTGGTTGGTTTTGTTTTGGTTTTTTTTTGTAGGAAACATTTCTTAAGAATTGTTTGAATTGGCTGCCCACAAATAGTTTTGCTTCAAGGTGAAGTTGGTCACTCAGTGCAAGTTTCCAAAGATTTTTAGTGCCTGCTAAGCACATGATTCCTGTCTACCTTACCAAATGAGCATGCTGGTGCAATCGACTCTTCAGAACTGTTTAAAACTATAGCTTTTGTGCCCTCCTTTTGCATAATTCAGAACCTTGAGTCAGTCATGAATGTAACGTGGTGCTTCCTTCCTCAGGTAATAAAGGTCATAAATATCTTCTAATTGATGGCAAATGGGCAATAATAATAAAGATGGGAATTTTCCACCTGTTATGTTTGCTTCTAAACCTCTCACAAAAAAACACTCTTTCAGAACTTGTGTTTTGACTTGTTCATGGTTTAATCTATCAGTTGTGATTTTTTCACTAGATGTTGATAAATATTCAGTGTAAATACATGTATCATGCTCCAGGGTGTTGTCTGTAATAAAAGAGGTTCATCTGCCACTATTTGAGATGTTATTGGGCACCTGGGTTACATTAAATTTGTGTCTTTTATTCTTAGTATTGAACTTTGTAATATGTATTTGTCAAAATTTCAGATTTTAAGTAGCAGCTTGTAAAACTTTATGCTTACACTTTTTCTCAGTTATTAAAATTATTAGCAAAATAGCCAAATACATGAAGAAGCATCTCGTTGTCTCCTTGGGTATATTATTCTTCTATTTTAGTCTCCTATTTGGAAATGAATGTAGAAGCTATCTAAATGTCAATATTATCATGCTGTTGATGCAGATGTTTCCAGGCCTAAGTATAACTTATGAGATGATATTATGGAAATTCAGATACTACTTTTTGCTAAAGATTAGAAACAGTAACACTTTAATAGCAACCATATGTGTACACTGATCTGTCGTCTCAACCTTCCCTCATTCTGGGCATGTGTAAAGAGCAGATGCCTTTTGAATATTACATTCCTTCTTGGAATACAATTTTAATCAAAGTTCAGTATGGACACACTCTTAGTGGCTACAGGCATACGGTGGACGGTAGTTATTAAAGCATCACTCATGCTTTGAACTTCCTCTGCTGTATGACATTTACTGTGAAATCTGGGAGCTTTTCCATTTTCCTTTGTCCTTCATGCCAACTTTGGGCAATTCGCTTATTGGAGGCTATTAGAGGTTACATGTGCAGGACAGGGTGCTTTGACACAAACACACTGCAACAGCCTAATATTGCCCTGCGCAAGAGTGAGTGCAGCTGGTCTGGAAAGACACACCATGTATCTGCTTACTGTAAAGATCACAGGGTTTGGACAGTTCCTGGCACCTAAGGTGGGCAGTTTTTAAGTATTAGCTGTAATTTAAGTGGAAATGAGGTTGGTGCTGGACCAAAACCATTTCTGAATTTGGGCCACATCTGCCAAAAAGAAAAAGAGAGGGAACTTCTACAATTTTTTTTCTTTTTTTCTTTTTTTTTTTTTTAAATCGTAAAATGTTTCTTCTTTGCTTCCTACCCCTCCCCAATCTATGTAATTTTAAGAAGATTTAACTAAAAGATACCCTTAAAATTGAATGCTCAACTCAATTTACTGTTAAGTCTTGCTACAGAAACCTTGGAATGAAATAAAAGATTAAAAAGCAAACAAACCAACCCTTCTGCCACCACCACTTTTCCCCCTGTCAAGAAACAGAAAAACCCAGGAAAATTCCTATTTTTTTTCCTAAAGAAAAACTACTGCAGTGAACTATGAAATCTACTATTTGCACAACTCCAACTGTAATCCCCACTATAAAGACCTTCTGTATTTCAGAAATGGTATTTGCCAACCGCTCCTTGGGGCATACTACTGCTTCTCCACTCTCCTAGTACTGCACTGAGCTGAGCAAAGAACTATTGGTGATTGCAGCCTCTTCAAAGCTTATTATGCCCATATTTCAAGTACAAAAGCCAAAGTAACTTGCAGTTTCTCCCCAAGCAGTCCCAGTGTTTTTGGATAGATTGTATAATGCAGCTCAGACTCATGTGCTAATTGTTAATTTTAGAATTTAAATAGGTTTTGTTCTATTCAAAGGCAGTAGGCTAAAGGTTTCTGAAAACTCTTGGTTTAGAAAACAAGGGTAGGTCTCTTTTAGAGTTTCTGAGTGAATTAGCTTTTGCTTCTGTGGAGAAATCTTTAAATGATAACACAAAAAACTTAGATTTGTGCTGAATGTGTATGCCTTTCTGGACTCTAAGCTTGTAAGTTTTTCATGAGGTACATTATCTTTAAAATATTATGGAATATTTGTTATTTATGTAAACATAGTTTTTCATCCTAATTATTTGTAGTCAGTAATGCTGGTATTCCATAATAAAGCTGCCTATTTCAAGTTGTGTTTCACTTTGAACAATCTTGTTCTTAAACAGACATGTTGTTCTGTTCCTTTCTAAACCAGGGCCTTATTTATTCCTGTTATCCATTGGTTTACAAGTGACTGATATTTCTATACTTTGCTTATTTCCAATCGCAACAGGTTTTTAAACAGAGAAGAATATTTTAATCTGTTCTTAGGCTGCTGTACACATTATATGGCAAAAAACCAAACCAGATCTGTGTATGCGGTTTCTAAATGAAACCTAGTTTCCAATAAGAAAATTAGACTGAGAGGTAAGATTTTAATTTGGATTAACTTAATTTGGCAGTTGTAAGTGACAGGAGGATTGGAAAGGCACGGGAAGAAAAAGTTGGCCAATTTCAATGAGGTATTTGTGTTTAACAGTGAAGGCTAATAATGCCTTTTTCTGCATCCTGGATTGGTTTATTTTCTTTTATGCCATTATTTGTATTTAGTGAACAGCTGGGCCAGTAGTTCTCATTTGTAGTCTTTTAGCTCTGTGAAGCAGCAGAGAAAGTAATGGACGTTTGCAAATTAATACTTACCGTTATTTTCTGCTAATCTGATGTAGCTATCCTTTTTGAGCATAGATGTTGTATCAGAGCAGAAGTAATTACTGTGTTAAAACTAGTACCACAGCAGAATATTTTGCTAATTAAACTTGTTGCATTTAAATTGCTTCCTTTGGATCACTATATAGAAGAGAACTGTTTTGAACAATAAATGAAACCACTTTCTTTCTCGGAGGCCTAGAATTGCAGATGGTCAGATTGTATGTGAAGCACCTAGGCTCTGAATTAGTCTTTGTATGAAAGAGAGAAAGGTAATTTGAATGTTTGAACTCCCTGTTCCTCCCACACATACACAGGAAGCTTGTCTCAAAATGAACAATTCTCTAAATAAAGACTAATAAGAAGCTAAATTAATTAGAAGGTGTGATTTGAAAAGACATTGATGAGAAGAGTCTGTCATTTTAGACAAATGGAATGGAGCTAAATAAATTAGGCCACATTAATATCTCATTGTTCTGTGAGGAGCTTTCTTTTATTGCATTCATTAGGGGGTACTTCTTGAAATGAGCCTTTACTAGCCATTACGGATTCAGTTCTCATTTGCCAATGCCTAACACACATCTCGTGCATTAAAAAATGTTTCAGGAAATCCTTATAGTTTCTGCAAATTAATATTTAGATTTCTAGATGCTTCACTTGGAATCTGCAACATAGTACGTGCTGAACATTATGATTTTCCTCACTGAATTGTCAGTAAAGAAGTTTCACATCAAAAAGTTTGGAAGGCAAAAGTCTGAATTACTATATAAAATAAACTGTATGCCTATCTTGAACAATAGAATCTACCAACTAATACTCTTCCTAGTATTTAATATTTCAATAATAGAAAGTACCCTGTCTCATGGCTTCAGTAGTCCTTTGATAGCTTTTTAAAGTGTCTTTTAAAAGCTTCCTTTAGTATATAATTAGGATACACTGGAAATGCACATCTCATCACACAGTTCTTCCTCAGAAAACAAAATGTATATTTTCCCTTTTTTTGTTTTTTTTTTTTTTTCTTCTCTCCTGCAGATGGAATATTTGGGAGATGCCAGCAAGTGCCAGTATCAGATACCTATAAATATGATATTTCACCCACTGTTCTTCATCGCCTAAGGATCATCCTGGAGAAGCTCTCACACAGAGGTATAGTAAAAACTCTGGTGGAGGGTTAGCTGCACTGGGGGTTACAATTCTTTTGTGCTCCCTTTGAGGTGATGTCTGAAGAAGTCTTCAGAAGTTTTGCAGCCTGATGTGTTTCAAGGCCTGGTAGTGCAGACTTTATAAAAGGAAAAAGCCTTCTAACTCACTGAATCTGCAACAAGGATTTGGCGAAGCAGTTTTGGAAGAGGTGCTTCCTCCCTTTGTAGCGTGTGTCTATGACTGACGTGCGATACAATAAAATTTTAACATCTGTGAATGCCAGTGTCATATAAATAAACCAGCAGGAAAGAAAAATAATTTGCCATATATACTTATGCACCACAGCATGTTTCAGGATGCATGGGCAGAAAACACACAACTTCCAAATAGCTAGAAGCAGTTCTTTCCAATGAATTCAGATAAATAGAACTGCTCTGATTTCATTAGAAGCTGCATATACTCTATTCCTTTGAATTTTCATTCAGATTTCTGAAGTTAATTTCTGTGCTCTTTCCAAAGCCAGAAAGGATGTTCTAGCTTCTGAATGGCATAACTTGAACTAACAAATCAAAATTTGGATGAAGTGAAAGCCAATAAGGTGAACAAACTTTTTAGGTGCTAATACAGAAATAACCCTCTGTTGTAAACAGCCGCAGGACCAAGAAATCTTTGTAATCTGAATTGTTCCAAGATTGTTTTAATGGTTAATTTTGCACTTGCATCATCTGTGTGGGTGTTTGTTCCCAAATATTTTCCAGTTGAAATCTCAATTACAAGCTAATAATGTTGTGTTAGTATGATGTTCATTTAATTATGAGAAGAAAATTGGTTTCTTGGAAGTTCATGACTATTCTTAGAGGCTGAACTTCTGGTTTGGAAACCACTGATTTATAGGATTCAAAAAATTTCCATGGATTTAGTTCCTGTCCAGCACCCCATCCAAATGAACCAAATTCAGCAAAGCTTGATTATAATAACACCTGGGTGATTAACATTTATATGTGAACAGTACTTCTGGCTCCCTCACTTGTCATTTTGTAAAGGCTAAGTTACGCAAGAAAGTGTATGAAAACACTATTTCATCAGGGAGACATTGTATGAGTTGAAAAGCTAGTATCTACTCTGTTTGAATGTAGTGAAGGGGGCAGGGGGGGCAAATCTGCTGCACTAGGACACCTAAATTGGTATCTAAATTGATCATGCGTGTTTGGGCAGCAGCACTCATTCACATTGCTTAAGTACTGGTGATGAGTTCTATGTAAAATTTTGTCTGTGGAGATGTCAGAGACCTGCAGGAGACCAGTGCCCTTCTGAAGGTGCACATCTAGAGGCAGACGGAATACCCCAGGCCATCTGAAGCCAATTGTCTGTCTCCATCTCCCTCACTACCATAACATTTTGGTTCAGCTGAATTGACGTGATCTCCCCCTACGAAGAGACTCTGATCAATAAACCAACCCTTCCCAGGATCTCTGTTATCAGTAACTAACCTCCCTAGATGTATCTGTTGCCGTAAACTGCTGAATGTGCCTTTCAAAGAAACGGTCATTGAAATTTGGACTTGTCTTTTTCATAGAAAGAGAATAATAAAGAACACACAGACTGAAACAGTGGTAAAGAATTAAACACTCTTGCTTTTATCTATCCTTGCTCCTGACATTTAGAGGTGCATACAAAATGTGTATATGCTTTGAACTGCTATAAAGCTTTTGCAAGCATTTTTTTATGGCCTGTGGGTATCCCAGTGAAGGGAATCCTAAATATGCCTGTAAAAGGTAATGGGATGATAGAATACTCATATTCAAATGATTGATGTGATAAAATAACTTTTTTTTTGTTGTTGTTGTTGGAACTCTCAGTATCCTTGGCAAATTCTGAAGTGTTTAGTGAGGACAGAAATTTGGAAGTAGTAGAATCAATATGGGCTATCAGATTAATGGATTACTGATACCACTTTCTCAGACTGCTCTTTGCAAGTACTATCAGATGTAATACATCCAGCCCTTAGGTCATGTTTTCTGGCTGTGATGGTCACTTGCACACTTAATGCAGTTCTCCTACAAATTGTGTGCAAAAGATTATAACTATTTATGCAGTATAGTAAACAAGACATTGTGAAGATTAAACAAATATTTCAGGTAACCTCAAGAAAGGGCTTAACTTTTTCAGAGGTCTTATTTTCTTTAACTCTGTAATACCCCATTCTTCTTGTCCTCTCCAAAAGGAGCGGTTCCACTTGCTGATATTTTCCCTTAGAAGACTATGTAGAAGGTCCTACAATAAGCAAAACTTTTAGTTACATTTATATCAAACACTTTCTATTATTATTAGATGCATATATAGTTAAGGGCCAGATATTTCAGAGGTTATTACCTTGAGTGGTTTTCTAGGTTCTTATTTAGTAAATTTTTTTTTTGTTTTGTTCTTGGTGTCTTCTTGCAGTATTACTAATATCTTCTTATCTTCTGTTTTATCTCATTCCTTTTTTTTTTTTTTCCCCCTGGCAATAGCCTGTTGGCATCTATTTCCATAAAATTAAAAAAAGAAATCATAAAAAAGCCTCAAATTTATGTCCTCTCTCGTATTTGTTGATCACTTCTAAGTGATGCCTGTATTTGAGTCATGGTCCAAGTGAAAGACTGTATGGTCAGATGCTATAAAAGAAAGAACATGTGAATAGCAAATGTAATTTGTGATTCTGCCAGCTCAAAATGTTTACTGCCATACAGAAGCATACAATACAGGCTTAGATGAGTGACATACTGGATTATAATCTGTTTAATAAAGGACTTTCACTGAAATTGAATTCAGGTTTCATAATGATATAGTTTTTATGTCTTCATTGCACATTGAGTCTATCTTTGCCTACACTACCTACTAATATATTGATCATAGAAATGAATGCTTCGAAACATTAGACAGTTTCCTACAAAGAAATGATCTGTTAGAATTCAAATACCCTTGTTCATGGTATTTTCACTTATACTGTCCTTTGAGTGAGTCAAATCTTTCAAAATACCATTCATGAAGATGATCTTCTGGAGGTTGGGTTTTTATAAATGTGACTATATGGGAAGATCTCACAGCTGCTGAAACATGATGAATCACTATCTGAAGTTTCTAGTATTATAATTTATAATTTATGAGGAGTTGAAACATTTCTCATTGTCTGATAAACAGTGCAATCAAAAGGTTGTTATTTAGATAGGAGTAAATCATTGGAGAAGGGAAATGAAGGCACTATCAGCATAGAGAGGTGAATGAGTAGTGCCTGAAGGAAATGGAAATCGTTATCCTGTGGCTGGTCTTCTGTATTTTGTCCAGCTTGGGAGAAGATACTGCTTGGAATATAACCCAGAATGATGAATCATCTATGCATTTCCCCATTTGAGCTAAAATGCACAAAACTCTTTTTTTACTTAAAGGAATTAAATAGACTGTAAAATGTTTTATTTTCTTTTTGTCCCAACAATATTATTGTGAAGGCAAAATGATCTCATCACTAAGATTATTTGCAAGATTGTCGAAACAGTTTCATGCTGATGGTTGATCTATAAGACTAGAAGCAAGAAAAATGAGATAGGGAGACTAATCATGGTACATTGTAACTCAGGCATGAATGCATAAATAGTACTTGAAATATCAGTATAAGCAATAATAAGAGAGAACAGTAGTATTTCTCAACTTGCTTACTCAAAGAGGGATTTACATTGGCTTCATAGAATAGTTTCTAACCAGTGATTCAGATTACCTGTACAATGGTACCATCTCCTGTCTCTGTAAAATTGCAGCTGCTGTAGCAATGAGTGTTACAAGCTGCTCAGAGATTCAGTCTGGCGGCCATGCTTAAAGACATCAGAACAAGGGTATTGCCCAGGGTTACAACAAATGCCTATCTGACTTAAGATTCTGTCTTTGGGAGTGGCCACTGTGCCTGTTTAGTTCAAGCATATAGAAGCATTTTTGCAGCATTTGTACCTTTGCAAACACTTCTCCTGAGGTAGAAGTCATGTTTTTGTGTTTGCTGTCTGCCCCATGGACATTTTTCCACAGAGTCTGACAAGACACTGTGAATTAGAAACCATGCACATTAGGCTAATAATCATTAGCTTAGCTTTTGTTTTTTGCCTTACTTAAATTTTAACTAACTTACAGCTGTAGTCACTTTGAATAATATTATTCAAAAACCAAATCAGATAAATGTTTTATGTAAGCTGGAGTCATTACTAAATGATTCCTGAGTATTCTTGTTGCTGTTTAATTTTTGCTGCATTACCTTCTTGTTCAAACTCTGCTTTCAAAGAAAACAATTTCTTCCACACTACTATGAAGAAAGTCCTGCTTAAGATAATTCATTTATCAACACTGTTATCTAGAAAGCCAAGAGGAGTAAGGTACACTTAAATTCATGTAGCTCAAGTTGGCACGATATTCTGGAGACGCTCATGAGCTGTGGAAATAGGCACCAGATTTACAGACCATTTGAAAAAAAATAGCGCTTTTTTTTTTTCCTCTTGTTTGTGTTCTTTGGAACACAGGAAGCTCTTGCCAGGTAGGGAAAAATATTTGTGCTAAATTAATTCTAACCAGCTAAGTGTAAGGTGGTTAATAGAACTTTACTAGAAAAAAAATTTATGCTGTTACAGCAATTGTTTGAAAAACTACAATGATTTGCGGTTAAATTGAAAATTGAAATGAATGTCACTTGTCACGTGCAGCTTGTGAATTCCAAAGCAGTTGCTAAACGTTTCAGTCAGGACTGTTTTTCAAGAAAAAACTGTCATTTGTTACCTCAATGAGGGTAACAGACCTGAAAGTAAACCTTTTAAGCTTGGTTTTGAAATAAACTTAAAAGGAATAATGCAGTTCTTGCACAGATTTGCAAGGTGATTATCACATAATTATGGAGATATATAGAAAGCTGAAACCAGGAGAGGTAGGAGAAAGCAGGTTTTTCTTTAAATTCAAATGTCAATATAGAGGAAGGCAAACTCTTCTTTTGG